TGGGATGGTTTCAATATGATGAATCTTTTAGACAGAAGAAATCGGTGTTCGATTCTCTTAAGTGGGGGATGAAGGATGTTGGGTTGTGGTTGAATCTTTTATCGTCACAACGACAAACAGTTTTTAAACAGCCGGTTATTAATTCTTCATCCTCGCTTCGGCAGGGGTTTTTGTTTTGCGTTTAATGAAGGACACTGCAAATGGGCTGTGGCTTGTAAATATAGGCACGAATGTTCGTTCTGTGCTGGACCGCATCAATTGAGTAAGTGCTTTAAAAAAGGTAGTGTTCCAGCCACAGCAACAAAGGATATTTTTCATAAAAGCCTGCACGCCTGTGAGGCTGGAAAAAATGCTGCCGTGGCTGGTGCAGTACCCAAGTCGGGAGAAGGCCCGATTGCTCGTTGAAGGGTTCCGGTTCGGTTTTTATCTCCCTGCCTTTAGCGGTTTGGGTTGTACGGTGGTTAAAAATTTAAGTTCGGTGCAAGCTTTTCCTTTTGCCAAAGACTTGGGCGGATTACTCTATCCTGTGAAGGAAGTGGTCTGGTTTTAATGAGGCTTTGGGTACATCTCCGGTCAATACTTGTTAAGATTCCATTTTGGCATTTCTTTGCTACGTCATTAGAGATGTAATTCAAAGAGGGTTGGGTGATTATTTATTTAGAGTTTAAGTTAATATAAACATATGTCACATACAGTCCCATGACAGCTGCCGAGCTCTCATTGTAATGACAGCAGGTCCCGGCCACTAGGAAACAGTTGGGTGGAGCTAGCTGTCACTGCTAGCTCCGCCAATCGTTTTCTACTTTAAAAAAAACTTTTTTTCACTGTTTTTTTATTCTTCTCGGTACCACGGAGTTACCGAGCAGAATAGCCCAGCCGAATGCCACTCGGCGGCAATTGGCTAGTCACTCACTGCTGTTCGGCCCCTATGAGAAACGGACATCGAGTAGCCTGCCGGAGGTTCGGCTCAGCCAATCCAGATGTTGGATCGGCTGAGTCGAAGTCCTTCTGCACTTCGGGTCAGCCAAAGCAAGCCAATGTACAGCTGATTTCAGTCGGTGTACAGCTGAAATCAGCCGTACAAGCCTGAAGTGAGTAGCCGAACAGCATTCGGCTCACTTCACTTCGGGTCAGTTATTCACATGGCTGCCTTTGGTTAATAGAATTTAAATAATTTTGGTGGAATTTTGGTGGAGGAGAGATGGATATTAAAAAGTCCCCATTCAAACCTGGGTGTTTTTTTCGCTCAAAGCTAAGCACAACAAAGTGCTCAACACAAGAATCCCACTAATTTCTATGGCCCTTGTTCACACATTTTGTCACAAGCATAAAAATGCCTGTCACTGGAAAAAGCACATGAGCTACTTTTGCCAGATTACAGTGCTTGTTGGTCCATTTCCAGGCATTTTCAATTGAAGTCTTTGGGACCAAAAGCTGTAATCTGCCAAAAAGTAGCTCATGTACTTTTTTCTAGTAACAGGCATTTTTCTGCTGTTGACAAAATGCTCAGGTGTGAACAGGGGCCATAGAAATTAATGGGATTCCTGGTCATGAATAGAATTCCTTTTGTCATGTCCAAGACAAGTGAATGGGATTCCTTGTCCTAAGCGTTTTGTCACACTTAGCTTTGAATGACAAATTGCATAGGTGTGAAAAGGAACTAAGTCTTGCGCAGAGGCTGGGACTGGCTAGCACAACATTTATAGCTACACTTTAAATTAAAATGAAAAATAAGCCAACATGTGGCAACATCTACATTCAGGGAAGTATTAGCAACAAGCAAATATGTACAATTTCAGGAGTAAAAATTGTACATTCATACATACATACATCTTCTTTGGTTAACATAAATCCACAGTCACACGTGTTTATGAACAATGATGTGTGTGGTAATGTACAGGGCATTCCAAAGCAGCTAGTCTGCCCTTCTAGAAGCTCAGTGGTAAGCTTTGAGTTATGCCTTAAAGAAAACTTGGGGAGAAATTTTATGCTAAAACTCCCTGCCCTCTTCAGCTCCAATATCAACTTTCCAGATTCTGGCAAGTATCTCCAGGTGCCCATATGCTACTTTTGTCTTTTTTGGAACACCCAGATTATGCCAATTCCAACCAGAGCTAATAAAATAGGACTATGGTCCCCTCTTCGTGGTCCTTGCACATCTTTATTAGACAATGAAGCTTCACATCCCATGCAGTGTCTGTTAGAAGGATGCACATGGTTAGAGGAGGCACACATGTGTTCAGCCATCAGAATTTGCACAATAAAGCACTCTGAAAATAAAACTAAAGAATCATGCTGGTAAAGGAAGGTGCCTTCTATTGGACATTTTTTCTTGTTTGATAGATACATATTTTTTTAACCTAAATTTAGTTTACAGATAGTGTGTTGGGCTGTTGCTGAATCTTTGACAAGGTTTGTGGCTTATTGTTCATTCTATCATTCTATCTTTACTTGTGGTGATAAGCTAGGGGTGAGGACTTAAAAGCAAAAAATAATAAGTGCGAGCTGCAAAAAGAAGCTACTTGGAAGTGTTATAAAGTTGTGTCCATAAGCTAAAGCTGAGCTCATGCTGTCAGTAAGGATGAACAGCATTCCTTCTGACCAGCAAAAGTAGGCTTTCTTGAGAATTCCATTTGCACACTCATGCATATTTGCATAAGTGAACAAAACCATGCTTGGTGAATGATCTTGAAACTTTCTATGAATGATCAATGAACAAATATTTAAATGAAGAATAGTTAGTTCAAAATCATTTTCTGCATAAGACTTTTATTATTAAAATAATTAATCACGTTGAAAGTGTTTTAAAATATCTAATTCCAATTATACACATAACATAATAAAATATATGCTCGTATATGGAATTTTCGGTAATTACTATTTTATATGTGTTACCTTGTTTATTATTTTATGGTAACTACAGAACCAAATAGTTGCAAAGGAAAACTTTTATGTTTTATTCTGATATATATTAATAGTTGCAAAGCATAATTGTTGACTAAGTTTATGCTGTAACCATATTAACCAAGTTGTATATAATGTCTTGGTGCTTAAATGTATGTTATATCTTATTGGCTTGAAAAAAGTATTTGCCTGACTGTATGCTGTTTGGCTTGAGCAGTATTAGTCTGAAACTGATGTCTATTCTATAAGTATGTACAATTTTGGATTCTGAAAAAAATGAACCTAAGAGTGCTGCAACCTTCAACTTAGATTTCTAATGTTGAGGTAGTTGGGTGTTCCTCTGTTGTTAGCTCAGCTTGTGATTGCTACAGTGTCATCCACCCTTCATTGTGTTTCTCTCTTTTTTATAATTTATTTTACTTGACATCTTAGTTGAAAGATTGACGGAGTTTGACTGAGGCTTGCAGCATGACCAACACTGTTAGAGACATATTTCTTTGTTACTGAAACATGAAAGTAAAATACATACAAGTTGAATAGAACACTTTACTTTTCAGTTAGAGCTCTGGGAAAAACACAAAGCACAGTCTATATTTGTCAGCCGGGAGGAACATGTGATAATATATATAGTTTGTGTCTAACTCTCTCTATCAATTTTTTTTTTTTTTCAAAATTGACAATTTTTATTAACTTTTTTACGTAAGATTTACAGAGATGACAAAAGACAGAAAATATGAAACAATGACCAGTGTAACATGCGGACCATATCCATGTAAACATTGCATAGCAGCCAACTGTGCATATTTGAATCCCTTGCAGAGTCAAGTCCTTATCCAGGGGAAAGACATGTAACCTTCATGAGAGGAGAACAAACTGGCTAGCAAGTAATACTGTTCCTATGTAGAAAAAAATGCAAAACGTTACAGGTATACACCCATTTCCCACACATTACCTAAGTTTAGCAGTAGAACGGGTAGGAGGTAGACTACTGTGTTATTGTAATGGATCCCCGCCATCTGCGCATGTGCAACCTGCACGTTCCCGCACTGCTCGGGAACGCGCCATCCCGCGCATGCGCAGAAGCAGTAGTCTACCAGCACGAAAATCCGCCATAGTGGCACACAGGAAATGACACCACTGGCCCTATATAAACCCAGCAGCAGTACCACCATGTTGCTGGTTTCATCCAGGAGGCTGAACCGATGCAGCTCAGGTTGGTTCGGGCGCCCCTCACCCCGGAGGAGCGACAAAGGCGTAGACTAAACAACGTATGCCTCTACTATGGTGGGTCTGGCCACTTCTTACAAGGATGTCACATCAGGCCCAGTAAGTTGAAATCCTCCAGTAGTGTACCCACGTATGACAACTTGATATCTCACCTCACTCTTCGACTTTCTCTGCAGATACCGGGAGGGACAATCCAGGTCCCAGCCATAATTGACTCTGGTGCCTGTAGCTGTTTTGTCGATCTGCAATTCGTCTGGAATCACGGAATACCCCTATGCATCAAGACACATCCACTCATTATCCATCTGGCCGATGGCTCCACGCCAACCTCTGGCCCCATTATACACGAGACCGCCCTTCTTCAGACCGCCACAGACTCAGGTCATCTGGAGTACCTGTGACTGGACGTCATTTCATCCCCCATATTCCCAGTCATCTTGGGACTACCTTGGTTGCAAAGACATGAACCTTCAATTAACTGGTCGGCTGGGACGCTGTCCTTTTGCTCCACCTACTGTCTCCAGCATTGCTTCCCTCTGAGGGCTTGTTTGACACTGCAACCCCAGGTCACCGAGATTACCCCACTTATCCCTGAGGCCTATAGTGACTTCCTAGATGTCTTTGACAAAAAAGGAGCGGATGTTTTACCTCCACACCGGCCCTACGATTGTCCAATTGAGCTACTTCCGGGTTCTGCGATTCCATTTGGCCGGATCTATCCTCTCTCGGAGCCAGAATTGGAGATACTCCGTCAATACATAGAGGATAACCAATGACAGGGATTTATCTGACCCTCCACCTCTCCTGCTGGAGCAGGAATCTTTTTTGTTGAGAATAAGGACCGATCTCTCAGACCATGTATTGATTACATGGATCTGAACAAAATTACGATAAAAAATCGTTACCCCCTGCCTCTAGTTCCCGAACTCTTTCAAAGATTGCGATCTGCCAAAGTCTTCTCCAAACTTGATCTTCGAGGAGCCTACAACCTGGTACGGATCCGCAGAGGTGATGAATGGAAGACCGCTTTTCGTACCAGGTTCGGTCATTTTGAGTACTTAGTGATGCCCTGTGGCTTGTGCAATGCCCCAGCAACGTTCCAACACTTTGTGAACGACATCTTTAGAGACTATTTAGACCACTTCATGATTGTCTATCTGGATGATATTCTCATTTTTTCTCCTACCCTGGAAGCCCATCGCATACATATGCACAAAGTACTGTCTCGTCTTTGAACACACAAACTGTATGCAAAAGCTGAGAAATGCGTCTTTGAGACGGACACCATTCAGTTCCTGGGACTTATTATTTCCACCTTGGGCATTGCCATGGACCCACGAAAGGTGACAGCCGTTTTGGATTGGCCTGTACCCTCTGACAGAAAAGGCGTTCAACGTTTCGTGGGGTTTGCCAACTTCTACAGACGCTTTATCAACGGGTTCTGCTCCATCATCTCACCCATCACTCAACTCACCAAACAAGCTTCCCGTTTCCGGTGGTCCCCCGCTGCACAAGAAGCTTTTGACCTGTTGAAGGCAGTCTTTACAGCTGCCCCGGTTCTTCGTCACCCTGATCCACTCCTGCCATATGTGCTGGAGGTGGACGCCTCTGAAAATGCGGTGGGGGCCGTCCTCTCTCAACGCCACGGAAGCACGACATTGCTCCATCCTGTCGCCTTCTTCTCAAGGAAAATTACCCCAGCCGAACAAAATTACGACGTGGGTGACAGGGAGCTACTTGCTATCAAACTGGCGCTGGAGGAATGGCGCTACCTGTTGGAGGGTGCAACGCATCCCATCCTTGTCTACACGGATCATAGAAATCTAGAATACTTATGCACAGCAAAGTGCCTGAGACCCCGACAGGCCAGATGGGCCCTCGTCTTCACTCGCTTCAACATGCACATCACATACAGACCGGGATCCAAGAATGGCAAACCGTATGCCCTGTCTCGAATGTTCCCTACAGTCGACCACCCACCAACAGTGGATACAGTACTTCCAGCCCACAACTTCCTTACGTTCACAGGGGAGATGTTATCTGGGATTAGAGCAGCTTCTACCTCGGATCAGTTACCCTCAGGGAAACCACTCAAGGAGGAAGACGGTCTCTTTTACCATGCCCGAACCTTTATCAAGGAGATCGTCCGCCTACATGGAGTCCCTAACAGTATTGTGTCAGACCGTGGGGTCCAATTCACCTCCAAATTATGGAGGGAGTTATGCCAGGCATTGGGAATCGAGACCCACTACTCATCGGCATATCACCCCCAAACCAATGGCCAGACTGAGCATACCAAGCAAACGAATGAACAATATCTACGTTGTTTCTCATCTTTTGTACAAGACAATTGGGCATCTCTCCTTCCCTGCGCTGAGTTTGCCTACAATAATGCCATCCATGCATCCACAGGTCAGTCGCCCTTCTATGCCTCCCTGGGATATCATCCTTCCTTTGACCCTGTCTTGCCCATGGGCTCTTCTGTCCCGGAGGTGTGGAACAGGGTGGAAACTCTTCATAAAAATCTCGAGCTACTGAAGGAGACTATGGCAAAGGCTCAGCAGGATTACAAGGATTCCTTCGATCAGAAGAGGAGGGGGGACTTGGATATCCACCCTGGCAATGAGGTATGGTTGTCCACCCTCAATCTAAAGCTGGCCTGCCCATCCAAGAAGCTGTCACCTTAATTCGTCGGCCCCTTCCCTGTCCTACGACGCTTCAGTCCTGCGGCCTACGAACTTCAGCTCCCTGCTTCCTACCGGATCCACCCGGTGTTCCATGCCTCGCTCCTGAAGCCGGTGGCCCCAAATACCTTTGGGGATCGGGGGTCCGATCCTCCGGCTCCTTCGATAGTGGATGGGGTTGAGGAATATGAGGTGGAGGCAATTCTGGACTGTCGTAGGAGGGGTCGCGGCCGCCAGTTCCTTGTAAAATGGAAAGTTATGGCCCGGAGGAGAATTCGTGGGAGCCTGAATCACATCTCCATGCTCCAGACCTCCTCCGCCGCTTTCTCCAGCGGACTTCCTCCCGTTCGTCCCGGGTGGGCATCCTGAGACTGCATCCGGAGACTGCCCCTTGGGGGGGGGGCTCTGTAATGGATCCCCGCCATCTGCGCATGTGCAACCTGCACGTTCCCACACTGATCGGGAACGCGCCATCCCGCGCATGCGCAGAAGCAGTAGTCTACCAGCACGAAAATCCGCCATAGTGGCGCACAGGAAATTACACCACTGGCCGTATATAAACCCAGCAGCAGTACCACCATGTTGCTGGTTTATTGTCAGCTAATCCTTGTTCCTGTTTTTATGATATCTTGCTTGATCCTTGTGACCCGGACTTCCTCGACAAACCTTGAATTCTGCCTGCCTTGACCACAGAACTGTTATTTGACCATTCTTCTGCCTGACCCCTTTTGTACTGGAATTGCCCGCTTGGAACCTGACCTCGGCTCGTCTCATTGGATTACGGCTTGCACGGTGCTCAACACCACTGGCACTCCTGCCACTTGTTGTCCCGCTGGGCTCTGTTTCCATCCTCAGAGTCTCCCAGGACACAAGGTGCAAGGGAAGCCTCCTCTCACATCCGGTCTCCCAGAAGGTACGTAACAGTTATAATACTGAAAAGAGCGTTTTCTGGTGCCACGCATGGGCTAGGCCAAGCTAGCCTAGAAGACAAACAAAAAGAGGTGGTCAGGGTAGTTCCCTGGAAGAAGGAAGACATGGAACGGAAAGAGAAGACAAAATGTGAAATAGAGGTTAGAATAAGAAGTAGATACCGGCAACACCTCGCCTCCCCTACCACCCCGGTCGATATCCCCCCGGTCCCCTCAGCCGCTGCGGCCATTCAGCTCCGATGCATCCCAAGCTTCCCAGATCTTATTATGCAGCTTCCAGGTGTTGTTGAGTCTAGCAGTCAGGTATTCCATTTTTTGGACATCTTTAATTCTGGTATACAGATCTAGGTCCGATGGGGGAGTGCTACGTTTCCAGTGAAGGGCTATGAGACAATGTGCCGCCGTCAACACATGAGATGACAATTTCTTGTCATATTTATGGATTCCTATAATGGGGAGGCCCAGCAGGTAGTGCAGCGGATCTAGTGGGATTTTACGTTGTAGAAGGTTCTCCAGAATATCTTGTACATTCCTCCAGAAGCGCCTGAGCCCGCAACACTGCCAGAAGATATGGAATAGAGAACCGGTTTGAGACTTACAACGCCAGCAGAGGGAGGAGACCTCTGGGTAAATATTGTGAAGAAACTCAGGAGTGTGATACCAATGATAAAGTATTTTATATTGGCTTTCCTTGTATGTAGAGCAGATGGAGGATGCAGACGCCACTCTCCATATACTCTCCCACTGCTCCTGTGAGATGGATATTCCCAGAAGCTCCTCCCACTGCCTCATGTATGAGTGCCTCGCAAATTCACCCGGTTTGTCCTCGGCCAGCATCCCATATATAGCGGAGATCAAGCCCGTGGAGGAAGGCGGTACCTCGCATAGTAACTCAAATGGGGTGCATTTCGTGAATGCCTTGGACTTGGTTATGGACTGGGCATAATGTTTAACCTGGAGGTACGCAAAAAGGGTGTTGGAGGAAAGTTGGTGTTTCTCTCGAAGGACTGGGAAGGAGTGTAGGACCCCTGATCTACGGTCTATAATGTCCCTGTAATGGAAGAGGTGCTTCTCTGCCCAGGGCAAAGCCCATCTCTGCTCCAGACTGGCTGGGAGGGCTGGGGTATACAAAAAGGAAGCCATGGCCGACTGTGGGGTTGATAAACTGAATGTAAATCTAAATTTGAGCCAGAGACTTCTGGTACAGAGCATGGATGTCAACAGGGAAGAGGGTGGGAGAGGCACTGGCGCTGCCCACAGGAGGGAGTTAAGGTGAGTCGGTGCTAGCCACAGGCTTTCGATCTCAACCCACACGGCAGGGGGGTACACGGCGCTCCAAAAAGGTACAGCCCGCAATTGGGACGCTGCAAAATAGTGAGCCACATTGGTCTCTCTATCAATTTTGATGAGACAGTAAGTGTAGATTTAGATGTCTGGAATTAAATTAATGTAATACATTTGATAAAAAGTAAAAATATACTGTCCCTCATACTTGTCTACTAATGGATTACCTGTACAAGGAATACAGGAAAATGTACGTGGGTTAAGAACTGCTTAAAAGACAACAAATAGTTGTAACTAAAGCATGATCAAAATAGACTAAACTTAGCAGCAGAACCACCGGGCCTGGTGTTGGACCTAGTTGCTGCAATTTATTGGTTAATAATCTGAATAGATAGTAATTTTACGTTTTTTTGCTGATGATACCAAATTAATGCCATTTTCCATGGGGGACGGGGGGTTGGTGGGTAGGGGGGCACATTGAGGAACCTGGCCTTGGGGCAGCAGAGAGAGTAAATCCGGCCCTGCGCGCCGGAGAGAAAGTGAATATTGCTTCTTTGGGAATCACTCCAGTTCTAGAACATTGGGTCCATTTTTTAACACCACATTGTTAAAAGGGCAGGGTTCAGATATCGGCAATTAACAAAAAGGATAGGAAATCTTACTAACAGTACAAGAATATACAATTTTGGTATTTTTTATTTAGAAAATGAATCACAACAATTTTTACATTTCTGCTATGGGCCTGTTTATTCAGTCATACTTTTGTCAAAACTTATAACAAGCTAAATACATAAACTGTTTTTTTTAGGACAAACAAGGTTTTCTTTGTTGATATTGTCACCAAAAATTATTTTTTTTATACATTCCATAGACAAAATTTATAAACAAAACCATACTTTGATCCTGAACTCCAGGATTTAAAACAAAACTTAAATGATTTTGTTAAGTCTAAGGGTAGAGGAAAATGCTTTAATATTTACCTTATTTCTTACACAGGCAGGCATCCACCATGCTGTGTGACAGGTGCCCCAAAGCCTCTTCTCTAAGGTTCTCCTGCAGTCAGTCACACTCTGACATCAACATGTACAATGCAGGACTTGGAGTGTTAGAGGGAAAATTAGAATGCTGGAGCCTGCTGGAGGGATGAATGAGGTAATCCTTATAGCTTATTTCCTTGTAGTGGGCCTCACTGCAAGGATATGTTTTTACTTGCATAAAAATCAGCATTACTAGATAACAAGTATACATTTTATTCTTTAATTTGTCATGTTAAAAATGACACTAAAATTATAAGTCTGGTACAAAACACTGCAAAGTTGTTTACAAATAAATTAAGAG